TTCTCTCACCTCAGCCTCCCAAAGTGCTGGGATTATAGGCATGAGCCACCACACCTGGCCAACAAAATGTTTTATTTGTTATATATTTGCCATTCTTTGTCAGGGCAGCTATGCAAAATTCCAGGTATTTTGATCCAAATTATTGAAAAAGTCTGATTTATTTTCACATTCTTCTAATCACACAAAAATATTGACCATCTTCTTTTACTATTTCTAATTCCACTAAAATAGCTTTTCAATGTGGAACAACCTATTTTTCTTTTTTTTTTGCGTTAGAGTCTCACTCTGTCACCCAGGCTGGAGTGCAGTGGCACACTCATGGCCACCCCAGCACTGACATGCTGGGTTTTGGTGATCCGTCCACCTTAGCCTTCCAAGTAGCCAGAATTACAGGCGTGCACTACCATGCCTGGCTAATTTTTGATTTATTGTAGAGACAAGGTCTTGCCAAGTTGCCCGGGCTGATCTCGAACCCACAGGCTCAGGCAGTCCACTCGCCCTGGCATCCCAAAATGCAGGGATTACAGGCTGAGCCACCGAGCCCGGCTGAACAACCTATTTTTTTTTTTTTTTTGAGTTGGAGTTTCACTCAGTCACCCCAACTGGAGTGCAGTGGCACACTCCTGGCCACCGCAGCCTTGACCTGCTGGGCTCTGGCGATCCTTCCACCTCAGCCTTCCAGGTAGCTGGAACTACAGGCGCGCGCTACCATGCCTGGCTAGTTTTTGATTTATTGTAGAGATGAGGGCTCGCCAAGTTGCCCAGGCAGGTCTCGAACCCGCAGACTCAGGCAATCCACTGGCCTCAGCCTCCCAAAGTGCTGGGATTTCAGGCTGAGCCAACAACCTATTTTTTAATACTCATGGACTGAATCCAAAGACTTTCAACAAAAAGAAGTTTATCAAGATAAATAAACATCACATTTTTTATAAACCTATTAGAAGATGAGCTGAAAGCTAAGCCAGTTCCTCATAGCCAATGTCTTTCATGTTAGAGAAGCAGTCTCAGCCCTCTGATCTATTCATACAATGCTGACGTCTTTCTGTTACTGATGTGTGAAGAGGACTCCCTCAGTTCTGTCTTATGCAAGGCATAGAGAGTTCAATTTCATACCCTGCCTATTATGGGCAAAGGCAGTAGAATGTTCAATACTGGAAAAGATGCCCTGACTGACACTGCTCAAATTTCAAGGCTGATACTGGCAGTGCCAGACTTCTCTGGCAGGCAGAGGGCAGGAAAGATTATTAAAAAGCTAAGCATATCTAGAGGCAACGGAGGGAGCTGTTGGACAGAGGTCCCAAGACAGCAAATGAGAAAAAATATTCCAAGTAGCTTGAACTAAAATATACTCATGCTTGTAGCAAAATCAGTTATGTCAAATAAATTACATAAAAATAAAGACTGGCCTACCTTCAAATTTTGGAGATCACTTTTCCAGCTTTTTCTAGTTCTGAGGAATTGTGTTTATAAAGGTCTATAAAGAGGAAGCATTTCTAGAAGATGGGCCTTTATGCTGCGAAGTCTCAAACCATTCAAGCTTCATCCAAACCACCTTTGAATCCTTCTGGAAGGAGGTTCTCTATCCAGGTGGCAGAGTCTAAACGGTCTTCATTTAGGACTAGCATGACACTGCTTTGTAGACTTTTTATTAAACGATGCAAAACCAAACTATCCCTCCAGCACCATCATTACCTGACATGGGAAACAGAGGGAGCAGCCAGTTGATTTGCTCGTTCACTTCTCTGAAGCTTTGACTTTAATTCATTCATCTCTGCATCTTTAAACTGGAGTTCAGACTGCAATGACTGAAGCTGGAAAGCAAAAGAAACATACTTATAGTTGTCCCGTCATATGCACAAAAATATCCCTAGACTTCAAAACGCCAAGCTAATGAAGGAAAACAAGAAAGGTACATATGAAAGTCTGCTGTGATATAAATGTCCTAAAATATCAAACATTAGCCTTCTTCCTAAAAGCATGGGACTCGAGAAAGATATTTGACTCTAACTATTGTGAAGGTATTATATGAGAGTTCAAGTATCAGCCTCACTATATACTTAGCCTCTCTGAATCTTAGCTTATCTGTAACACAAACGCCTGTCTTCATCATAATGATGAATGTAAAATGTTCAGCATGGAGCTTGGCAGGGTGCCCTATCTCAGTAGTAACATACTGACCTTTTAATGAACATAGTGGTACACAACTCCAGATCTTCTTGAAAGTTTGGGCAAATATTTAAAACAGTTTTACCTAAACCCTGTGCAGTATAGGGGACATGCTGCTCTGGGCCACAGGGGCTACAGACAACAGGAACTGCCATAATTTCCCAAGCACACTCTGCGCCAGGCACAGTACCAGATACAATAAGTGCAGGAACATTTGAGTCTCCCAGCCACCTTTCTGGTTATTTCTTGGAACAGATAAGGGAAATGAGTCATGGAGCTTAAGTCGTTACCTTGAGGTTACCACTTGGGTGTGATGAAGCTTGGACTCAAATTCTAGTCTGACTGACAACAAATTTCTTACTCTTCATCACTTATATGGAAAGTCAACTACTGTTCTTAGTGCAGGGCACAGGTAAGTGCTGATTTAAAGTTTGCTGAATGAAGTAATAAGAGAATACGACCCCATGTTCTTGAGATTGAAGCATAGGAAAGTGGTGGTATACACTGGATACCTGTTTTTCTTCCTGGAAAAGCATCTTTCTCTCTGTGAAAAACAATCACTTCAGAGTGAGACCCTTACTCAGCAACAACAAAAAAATGTCCTGACAAGATTTAAGTCATTCGAGGACTCAACACACCCGGTTTTTCCCAGACTTGGTTATGGAAGCCAATGCATTTCCTTTTGGCCTAAGCTAGGTCAATTGGGTTTCTGATCTACCAAAAGAGGCCTAATGTAAGCCTGCTTCTAGAAATTCTAAGCTAGTGATTTATTCCTGCCAAGACCAACTACCACAGCAAAGCAGAGTTTTATCTAAGTCCTTTTCCAAACCACATGCAGGCCTTAAAAAGAAAGCGTATGGCAATTAGCTGATACAGAAAGTATTTAAGACAAACGCAAACCTACAAAACAAATGCTGTGGGTCACCTTTTTGAAGAACTCCTTTTCTTTGTCACTGAGTGCTTGGGTTTTCTCTTGCTCAAGAAGAAAATGTGATCTTCTCTGCTCCTCTAGAATGACTTCTGTCTGGTGTAGTGAGTCTCGCAAAATTTTAATTTCTCCATTCTTAATGAGGATGTCTTCTTCCATTGCTTTCAGCTGTAAATCCAAATTAATCTTGTGACAAGTTTGTAAGGGAAAATTAATTATATACTTTGTTTAACATATAGCAGGGGGGACAAAGATAGCACAGGAAGAGCATGTTCTACAGACTAATGAGTGCTCAAAATATACCCATACCAACCGGATGTCACCAAGGTCTGCTAGGGCTATTCATGGGATAGCTGATACTCAGCAAGTCAACTAAAGGATACACTTGTCTCTCATATTTGCAGATCCTTTATGCTCTAGGAGGCATTTAATAATCTGGGTCACACACTTCACAGAACTAAAATTGCAAGTTATGTTCCCGGTTTTCTTTTTTTTTGAGTTGGAGTCTCACTCTGTCACCCAGGCTGGAGTGCAGTGGCATACTCACGGCCACTGCAGCCTCGACCTGCTGGGTTCAGGCGATCCTTCCACTTCAGCCTTCCAAGTAGCTGGAACTACAGGCATGTGCCACCACATCCAGCTAATTTTTTTAAAAAAATTATTGTAGAGACAAGGTCTTGCCAAGTTGCCCAGGCTGGTCTGGAGCCCCTGGGCTCAGACAATTCTCTCACCTCTGCTTCCCAAAGTGCTGGGATTACAGGTGTGAGCCACAGCGCCCAGCATGTTCCTGGTTTTCTTAGGAAAATACAGATGGTCATATGGAGAATGTCTGCTTTCTTGCAAAACTGCTAATGAAAATAGCAACATTTATGCTGTTGTGTTCCTCATATAAAGATATAGGCTGTAAATTCATCTCAGTGCCATTAACAGTTTGTACCTCTTTTAGGATCTGGTATAGTGTTTTTTCCTTGCCTTGGCTGTTAGGATTCTCACAATTTAGTTTCTTTCAGCCTACATTTTCTGGCTTGCTTTCCTTAACCTTCTCGCATTTCATGAGGATGAATCTAGATTCTTATTTTAAATCTTTTATATGTATATAAATATATATATTTTGTTTTTGTTTTTGTTTTGAGTTGGAGTCTCACTCTGTCACCCAGACTGGAGTACAGGGGCCACTCCCGGCCACCTCAGCCTTGACCTGCTGGGCTCCGGCGATCCTTCTGCTCAGTCTTCCAAGTAGCTGGAACTACAGGCGCACGCAACCACGCCCGGCTATATTTTGTTTTTTTGTTTTTTCGAGTTGGAGTCTCACTCTGTTGACAGACTGGAGTGTAATGGCTGCTCCCGGCCACCGCAGCCTTGACCTGCTGGGCTCCAGCGATCCTTCCACCTCAGCCTTCCAAGTAGCTGGATCTACAGGCGTGCGCTACCATGCCCGGCTAATTTTTGATTTATTGTAGAGATGAGGTCTCGCCAAGTTGCCCAGGCAGGTCGCAAACCTGCGGACTCAGGCAATCCACTCACCTCAGCCTCCCAAAGTGAGGGATTACAGGCTGAGCCACCAAGCCCGGCGGTTTTTGTTTATTGAGCAGGAATCTCACTCTGTCACCCAGGCTGGAGTACAGTGGTATGCTCACAGCCACCACAGCCTCAACCTGCTAGCCTCAGGTGATGCTTCCACTTCAGCCTTCCAAGTAGCTGGAACCACAGGCAGGAGCCACCACACCTGGCTAATTTTTTTTTTTTGAGTCAGAGTTGCACTCTGTCACCCAGGCTGGAGTGCAGCGGCACACTCATGGCTACTGCAGCCTCAACCTGCTGAGCTCAGGCGATCCTTCCACCTCAGCCTTCCAAGTAGCTGGAACTACAGGCGCGTGCAACCATGCCTGGCTAATTTTTTGATTTATTGTAGAGATGAGGTCTTGCCATGTTGCACAAGCTGATCTCGAACCCCTGAGCTCAGGTAATCCTCTTGCCTCTATGTCCCAAAGAGCTGGGATTACAGATGTGAGCCATGGTGCCCAGCCTAATTTTTTGATTTACTGTAGAGATGAGGTCTCACTAAGTTGCCCAGGCTGATCTCGAACCCCTGGACTCAGGCACTCCTCTAGTTTCTACCTCCCAAAGTGCTAGGATTACAGGCATGAGCCACCGCGGCCAGCTAACTTTTTTATATATTATATTGTACAATGCTTTTTAAACATGAATAAGCGAATGAATTAGCTACAAAAACACATGATAAATCACTTACCTTTTCTTTAAGTTCTTTGTATTGTGCCTGAAGTACTTCTAATTCAAAATTATCTTTAACTGGAACACTTTCTCTGTTTTTCCCTGCAGGATTTTTTGATATCCCATCTAATCTGTGGACCTTATGAATACCTGTAAAAAAGTTCCCATATAGATTTCAGGACCCATTTTCCTACTTTTGCCAGCAAAGTAAAGAAAGATCTAGTAAGCAATATAGATATTTCCCAACATATGAAATATGGTTAAAACTCATACACGATCCTTCTAAAATAACAGATCTCTTCATTCTCTCCCCATCCCTCACCCAATTTTAAGAATCTCATCTAAAGGATCAAAGGTGCTGTGGGAAATCTCACTGGCCAGAAATCAGTGACCTATATTCAACAGTATTTACTGAGCACCAGCAATATGCCAGGCATGATGTTAATCTCTAAAGGCACAATGGTGAGTAAAATTGACAGTTCTTACACTCATGGAGTTTACAGGACATTCAACAAATAATCACACTAATAAACGTAAAACTGCAACTGTGATAAGAGCTGCAGAAAAAAACCACAAAAGCCTATAGCTGGTGTGGTGGCTCAAGCCTGTAATCCCAGCACTTTGGGAGGCCAAGGCAAGAGGATTGCAAGTCCAGGGGTTTGAGACCAGCTGGGCAACTTGGCAAGACCTCATCCCTACAATAAATAAATAAAAAGTAGCCGGGCATGGTGGTGCATGCCTGTAGTTCCAACTACTTAGAAGGCTGAGACGGAAGGATTGCCTGAGCCCAGCAGTTCTAGGTTGCAGTGGCCATGAGTGTGCCACTGCACTCCAGCCTGGGTGACAGAGTGAGACTCTGACTAAAACAAACAAACAAACAAACAAAGGCCTATAATAGGGCAATCTGACCTAAGTGGAATGATTGGAACATTTCCCTAAGGAAGACGTGAATGAGCAGAGAGCTGAAGAACAAACAGGAACTAACCAGATGAGTGGATGGAAAGAACACTCAATGTACAAGGAAGAGCAATGTGTCAAGTTCATGTATGGTAAGAAAACAGAGAATTCAAGGAATGAAGGAAGGTTAGTGTGGCTGGAACTCAGAGAGGGAAAGGACCAGATCCAGCTGGACCTTGCAATCCATGTTAAGGATTTTGATCTTTATGCTGGAAGCTGTAGGACGTCATTAAAGGGCTTTCAATAGAGATGCTCATGTGTATTTGTGTGAGACACAGTCAGAGTTCAGTTTTGAAAAGACCATTCTGGCTGGGTGCAGTGGCTCACACCTGTGATCCCAACACATCGGGAGGCTGAAGCAGGACTGCTTAAGCTCAGGAGTTCAAGACCAACCTGGGCAACATAACAAGACCTAATTTCTATTAAAAAATTTTTTTAAATTTATATATATAAAAAAAAATATATATATATATATATAAAAGACCATTTTGGTGGTGTGAAGTCTGACTTGTAGGAAGTCAAGAATGGAAATGGGGCAGATGATTGTCCAGGGAAGGAAACATGGTAGCATAGATCAGGAAGTTTGTAGAAATGATGTGAATAGGATGGATTCCAGAGATGGATTAGGAAGGTAAAATTTGGAAAGGAATTAGATGTAGAGTCAAGGAAAGGAGAAGAGTTGCCTTGGGCCACTGGATGGAGAGTGGTGCCAGTCACTGTCTTATGGAACATTTGGTTATCAACCAGTGTTTTCTGAATGTCTGCTTTGCCAGGTACAATGCTAGAGATGCTGGAAGAGGACTGGATTTTCAGGAAATGACTGTGTTGACTTTAATATGCCTTGAGATATCCAAGTACAGATGCAAGGTGCCCTCAAAACCTTTCTCTTTTTGGGAGCTCCACAAGACCATTCTTCAACCAGCATGTAAACTCCAGGAAAGATGGGGATTTTGTATTTTGTTCATTGCTACATATGCTGCAGTTCCTAACATTTGGGCACCTAACACAGATAACTGGTGTAAAAAGGATAAATTTATTTCATCTCTTCCTTGTGCCAGGCCCCTCCCATGCTCACAAAACCTGTCACAAGAATAGGTTCCCATGCGTAGGTATTGATGGTTCTGATGGTGGTGGTAGTTGTGTTCCAAGGTTCTGCTTAAAATTGAGTGGCCTAAACTTTATAAAGTAAATGTTAACATAGCTTCCTATGCTTCAAATCGGCATTTGAAGTTTGACATTCCTGATACATTTCTTCCCCAAAATCAAAGGACCTTTTGGGAGACAACCGCTACTTGAATCAGGGTGTTCCCACATTCAAGTAGCGGTTGAAGGGGCAGTGTCGGTGCAAGACACCGGGGCAGCGCCGGCCGTGGGTTTCCGAAGCCACGCCAGTTCCGCAGTGTGCAATACCCTCCGGGAAAAAGTCCGCTAGGAGCACTCACTAGACACGTCCCGAGCCTCGGGCTGGCATTGGCTCAGGGCCTGTGACGCGAGGATGTCAAGCTCCTCCAGGTCGTCGGCGGTGAAGTCCCCGTGCGCGCCGAACGGGTCGTCGGGGTCTGGGGCGGTGGTTGCGGGGAAGCCCCGGGCCCGCTTGCTCGGAGGGTGCCCGGTGCCAGGCGGCGGGCCAGGGCGAGGCGCTGGGGGCTCGCTGCGCCTCCTGATGCCTGGCGCTGGGGTTCCAGCCATGCCTCCCGCCCGCCCCAAGTGTCCCGGAGAGCCGAGCCGGACGCTCCGCCGCAAGGCCGCAGAACTGAACCAACCGCCCGCGAGCTGCAGTTCGCCTCAGCAGCTAGTGTCCGGTCCTCAAACACGCGGGCCAATCAGCAGCCAGCCTGCGGGCGCGGAGGAATGACATAATCCGAGAGCGCCGCCCCGCCCAGCCGAGTCCCTGCCTATCTCGACGGCCCTCCGTCCCTTCCGGCCCCGCCCCGCCCGGCGTTCCCGGGCCAGCTGCTGGGATTCGATAGGTTCGTCTAGGTTCCAGGCTCGTTGCGACGTGATCGAAGTTACCGGAGATGCCGGTCCGAGCGCACCAGTCTCACAGCGCGGGTGGCTCTGTGCCGGTTCCTTGGCACTTCGTGGAGTAGAGTCGCGCAGGAGCGGTGTGCTCTAACATTCACACGTGTTGCGTTTGAATCCAGGCAGGCAGCATTCAGGGGTGTGGTTTCGCTTTCCTTCTCTCCAGACCCTGAGGCTCTCTTGGGGAGGAGTATGTTGTGTGTAGCAGACATCTTCGAGAACGTATTTCAAAGTCGTATTTCGAAAATAGTAAAATATCGAAATAGAAATATCTTTTTTTTCCGAATTGGAAGCTCACTCTGTTACCCGGGCTGGAACGCAGTGGCACGCTCACCGCCACCGCAGCCGCGACCTGCTGGGCTCGGGCGATCCTTCCGCCTCAGCCTTCCAAGGAGCTGGAACTACAGGCGCGCGCCACCACGCTCAGCTAGTTTTTTATTTATTTTAGAGACGAGGTCTCGCCATGTTGCCCAAGTTGGTCGCGAACCCGTGGGCCCAGGCAGTCGTCTCACGCCTCTGCCTCCCAAAGTGCTGGAATTACAGGCGTGAGCCACCGCGTCCGGCTGTACATATTTCAAATGTGTGCATCTGAGGTAGGTCTGGAGAGGAGGAAAGTCCAAGAAGGAGTGATGCTAAGAAAAGTGTGCCTGTGTGGGAGGGATGGGAACTATTCTGGTTATTCATTCATTCCTTCGAGAGTGTTGGAGTGTTTTTATCCTAAGGTCTGCTTATACTGTATAGAGATGAGGCTCAGGAGGTCAAGGAAATCCCCCTGTTAAGTGGCACCTGAGCTGTTCTACAGGTTGACTGAAAGTTAGGAGTCTGGCAAAGGAGACTACTCAGACATTGAATTCAACACTGAAAGGGAGTCCACACAAATGCCAGGTTGAAGTTACCTATAGCAAAGACAGAAGGTTAGACTTAACAAAGGAGCAGGGATTTGAGGTGGCCTTGAGTGCTTGGTAAGATTTTAATGGACAGCAGTGGTGTGCAGAACAGTTAGCAGCAATGAGGAATTGGTGTTGGAGAGTAACAGGAGCAAGACTCTGTTTGTTTGTTTGAGTTGGAGTCTCACTCTTGTCGCCCAGGCTGGAGTACAGCGGCATGCTCACGGCCACCGCAGCCACAACCTGCTGGGCTTAGGCGATACTTCCGCCTCAGCCTTCCAAATAGCTGGAACTACAGATGCACGCCACCACGTCTGGCTGCAAGACTCTTTTCAAACTCGCCCGCTCAGTGCCGAACTTAACTTGTGGCCAAGCTTAACCTGCGAGCATCCTACGAAATGTTTAAGAAGGCATTAAAGAAAGAGTAAATGAAAAGAAGATTGCTGTCCTGGAATGCCTGAGTTTTTTTAAGCAATGGGTAGGTTCCCTTAGATAGCTGCCCAAACGTTGAATGTTTTCTTAATTGCTGCAGGTCTCTGGTTCTGGAAGGAGACAGGATTGTTCATTCGTCGGGAGGGATTAGGTTCCACCAAATAAAAGAGCAGTAACTTGCTCTCACGAGCAGTGTGCTATCACTGGCACTCAGGTTTGTTTCAGAAGTACAGGACTGGGTGCCAGCTGGCAAGGTCCCATAGGGGATACCTAAAGCCCAAACAAAAAAGGTGCTACTAGCTGTGCAACTTTTTCTGGAAAGAACCAAAGCAGCCTTTATTTTTCCCATGTTAATATCTAGTGCATTCGTCATAAAATGGGCTTAATTAAATTTGCCAGAACCTTTTCCAGTTTTGATTTAGCCAAGTGTCAGAATGGTTCTAGAGCCCTTTTGAACATACATTCTTAGAAAAAACATTATTACCAGTTGTATCAAGGGCCTGGAAGGGAACCAGACTTGTGCCTCTTTATTGTTTCAATAAACACATATTTAGCATATATTATGATGGCCTGTCCTCTTTTTATTTGAGTCAGGAGTGGTAGGTAATTAACAAGTCAAGAGAAAAAATAAGACAAAGAGATATTGAACTGCCACTCTGTGGAGGGACTAGAGGAAGCTCACTATTTCAGTTCTGTAAAAGAAAGGAGTACCCAGTATTTAGTATTGTCAGGCAAAGCGTAGGTGAAAACAGTGATGCAGCTTGCCTGATACATAGGCCACTATGGCTGCAGATGGATCAGGGGATGAACAGTAGCTATCAGAGGGAAGAGAGTGGCATCCCTTAGGGCCTCTAAGAAGCCACTCAAGAATTTTGAGCCAAGGAGAGAAAAAGTGTGACTTCTGTTTTAGCAAGATCACTCTGGGTCCTGAATATAGACTGCAAGGGGACAAAGGTGGGGGCCGAAGAGAAATTTATTTTTGAGTTGGAGTCTCTCTGTGGCTCAGGCTGGAGTGCAGTGGCACAATCATGGTTACTACAGCCTTGACTTGCTAGGCTCAGGTGATCCTTCCGCATTAGCCTTCCAAGTAGCTGGAACTACAGGCATGCACCACCATGCCTGGCTACTTTTTTTTTTTTTTTTTTTTTT